GAGAGAGAGAGAGAGAAGAGACTTCAGAGGAAGTGGAAGAGAGGGCTTCACGTGGGGCTATGGCTGAGGCATGCCTTTCTTTGGTCTTGTAGGTGGAGTGTCTTGCTCTGTCCTAAGGGCCGTAACTTGGTGTTGGTCCCGCGTAAGTAGGGTCTTGGGAGGGGTGGGCTGGAAACGATCTTAACCTTTGGCTTGTTCACAATGTGGCCGCTCTCAAAACTCGAACCTGCGCTATTGCAGTGGCTACCTGAGCCTTTTACCGTCACACCAAGTGACGGCCCTTTGTCTTGCCGTCTAACCTCTTATTTATCAGTGGAATTATCGTATATCGTTCCCTCCCCTAAAAATCAGTATTTTACATAAAACGTCAATTTTTTTCTTTTCTCATTTCAGGCAGCATCAAATTTCCCTAAAAGCTTAATGTACTCCCTTCAAAACAATCCACCCCTTTCCCATCTTTTTCTCAAAACAATGCCGTTGTGGCAATGTTAAGTTAGCGGTCCTAAGGCCTAACCTTTTATTCCTCTTCTCCTATATTTTCTCTATGCTTTTTCTATCACTTTCCTTGCTCTACACCCCCCTCTCTCTCTCTCTCTCTCTCTCTCCCCCCCCCTTCTCTCCACGGTCCCTGGAATGTCTTACGATGGACTTTTCTCTTCTTGCTCTTTCATCCCATTGTAGCTAATCTTCCCCATCCTCTCTACCTTTAGAGAGATCCCAACATTTTTTTTTATTTTTTTTAAAAGGTCACAGAGAAATCACTCAATTTTGCGTCCACTAAATAATTTTCAGGCTGCCAAATAATGAATTTCAGGTCACTATAAGATGCCTTAGCTTTTCTAAACCCCAACTCGCTAACTTTTTCATTAATCAATCTTTGAAGTTCTCAAATTTCCCTGTGAATCAAGACCCACAATATGAAATGATTTTCTCGATAATTCTCGAGGATAAATGCGATGCAATTGAGTATTGATTGCCACTACTGCAAGCATTTGCGAATGCTGCAAAAATTATGGAATTTTTGCTATATGCTTCCACAAATTTGAGGTGAAGAAGGCAAGAGATCTGTGTTATAGCTATATAATAGCGTAAATTGAGAATATATGGAGGAGATTGAGATTTTTGCAGCTATGCTTTTGGGTTTCTTTTAGCTTCTGTATTTGTATTGAGAAGCACCACTTGGAAATGCAAAGCGAGTTTTCTCGCTGTTTTCTCTCTTTTCCTTGCCTCTGAATTCTTTTTTCAGATGCAGATTAGAACCATTTGAAACAAGAGGGGAAATGACTTTCTCTTTAAGCAAACCCTTTCTTATTGAGTTCCCATTGACCATAAGGGTAGAAAGATGAAAAACCTTGTTCAGTTATTTTCTGATCTAGATTTCATTGGAGATATCAGAATTAGAGCATTTTGACAGGTTTCTTGTTGAAAAATTTGGAGGTTTGAAGTTGGTGAAATGCTATTTACAGTTTTATTTATTTGAAATGTCAGAAATCTTGGTCATCAGACTGTTTTAATTTGGATTTTGTGGATGTTGGTAGGATAGTCCGTCCCATGTGGTTGGACCTCCCTGTCCTTTTGCCCATTGTTGAGGGAGTAATATTGGAAGTTAAATCGACAAGTCACTGAAGGTTTGTAAATAGGAAGCCTCATGTGAAGCTAAAAATTTGTTCAGATTCCTCTTCTCTTTTAGAGCGAGAGAGAGGAAGTGACTTTCTAGGAAAGTCATCCAAAACCTCATGTGAGAGGTTGCGTGGTTGTTAAAAAACAAAAATCCTCATTGAAGTCATATAAATGGGTCCACATATGGGCTAAGATTTTGATGAGAAGAAAAAAAGAAGAAGAAACGGAGTGGTGTGTTCTTCTTCTTTGGAGAAAAGGAAGAGAGACTGAGATTCCAAAGAGAAAAATCCTCAAGAAAGAAAATAAGCCTTTTAAAGAGAGAATAACCTAAGAGAGAAAGAAAGCCATTGAAAGAGATGAGAACTTCAATGAAAGAAAATCTAGAGAGAAAATCCTCTAGAAGAAGTTAGAGAGCCCAAGAGAGCTTGCCTCTTGGAAGATAATGCACACCATTATTTTAATAGTGGATTATTGATCTCTTTCTCCTGTAGATGTAGCTTGAAAAGGTAAACAACGTAAATCTTGGTCTCAATTGTTTTTCACTCATACACGCACAAATATGATGTATTTTGTCCCATAAATCTAGGCTCCACTGTGCACATTCACAATTTTGCAAGAGGGCTCGAATGGGTGGGCCTAATATTAAAGCAGATTAGTGCGTGTGTATGAGTGGGAAAAATAACATGTAACAAGAAAATAAACAATTGAGACCAAGATTTACGTGGTATACCTTTTCAGGCTACATCCATTAGAGAATGTTGGGTGGTCAAGAAATAATATACCCATAGGATGAGTGTAGCAGAGATGAGG